GAGTATATGTATTAGCACATTTACATATATACATATAAAACACAGAAAATTAGCCAAATCTAGGCCAGGCATGGTGGCTCATGCCTGTAATCCCAGCATTTTGGGAAGCTGAGACAGGAGGATCACTTGAGTCCAGGAGTTCAAGAACAGCCTGGGCAACACAGCAAGTCTGCATCTCTACAAACAAAAAATTAGCAGGGCATAATGGTGTGCACTTGGAGTCCCAACTACTGGAAGAAGCTGTAAAATAAACTAAATAAAATTTAAAAAATTAGGCTAGGCGCAGTGGCTCATGCCTGTAATCCCAGCACTTTGGGAGGCTGAGGCAGGAGGACTGTTTGAATCTGGGAGTTCAAAACCAGCCTAGGCAACACAGTGAGACCTCATCTCTACAAAACATTAGCCAGTTTTGGGCATGGACCTGTAGTCTCAGCTACTTGGAAGGCTGAGATGGAAGGACTGCCTGAGCCCAGCAGGCTGAGGTCATGGTGGCCATGAGCGTGCCACTGCACTCCAATCTGGGTGACAAAGAGAAACTCTGACTCAGAAAATTAGAAAAAATAAAAAAAAAAAGATCAGGTGAGTAGAGAGGGTATTCCAATACAGTTATTTGCACAATGCTGTCAACGTAAGTTGACAAGTTCACGAACTTAATTGTCAAACCTCAGTAAATAACAATGACAGCTCTGATGGTCATTCCACAAAAAAAGTTCCAAAACTGCTTTGACAGTGGACTAAGTGCTGGCATTGGTGCACAGCTTCCTAAGAGGAGTACTTCAAAGGTGACTGTAGTGATATTCGGCAATGAGGTATGTAGCACTTTTTCTAGGATGGTTTGCAAACCTAATTGCCGGACCTTGTATCTTGAGCAACACAAGGAATTGAAGACACATGTGCATTGGTTTTGTGGTCTGCCCAGAAGGTACCCAGATGCCTGATACTCTAAGCTTCTTCTTTTTTTTTTTGAGTTGGAGTCTCACTCTGTCACCCAGGCTGGAGGGCAGTGGCACGCTCCTGGCCACCACAGCCTCGACTTGCTAGGCTCCTGTAATCCTTCCACCTCAGCCTTCCAAGTAGCTGGAACTATAGGCGTGCTACCACGCCAAGCTAATTTTTTATTTATTGTAGAGACAAAGTCTCACCAAGTTGCCCAGGTGAGTCTCAAACCCACGGGCTCAGGCAATCCTTTCGCCTCGGCCTCCCAAAGCACTGGGATTCCAGGCTGAGCCACCGAGCCTGGCCTCTCTAAGCTTCTTAACAGTGACAGGACCCCTCTTTCCCTGGCCAACCTCTGTGCTGTGGTCCCAGTACTTCAGGGGGCAAAAGGAATTCAGCCGTGGTCTAAAACCCTGACACCTCCAAATTCTCTAAAACTCTCTAAGGTCTGCTGAGCATGAGGTCCTGAGAGAAGGGCTGAGGGAAACAGAGGAAAAATTATTCCAGAGAAAAGACTCAGTGCAGAATGGGGGGGGGGGGTTTCAGAATTGAAATGTTATCCAATACGAGAAGCCAGCTTGTTTTCATGGCATCAAAAGGTAGAACTAAGACCAATATGCAAAGGCTACAGAAAGACAGATTTGGGCTCAAAATAAGGAAACCACCTATTAATGCAAATGGTCCAAGAATAGAATAAACTATTTCAGAGAACAGTGAGTTCTCTATCACTGATGTGATATAAAAGTTGCTGAGGATTAAATGAGTAAATATAATGGCCAGGCACAGTAGTTCACACCTGTAATCCCAGCACATTGGGAGGCCAAGGCGGGAAGATTGCTTGAGCTCAGGAGTTTGTGATCTGCCTGGGCAATACAGCAAGATCTCATCTCTACAAAAAAAAAAAAAAAAAATTCAGGCATGGTCGTGCACAGCTGTAGTCCCAGCTACTGGGGAGGCTGAAGCAAAAAGATCACCTAAGCCCAGGAGGTCGAGGCTGTGGTGAGCCATGATTGGGCCGTTGCACTCCAGGCCAGGCTACAGAGTGAGACTCTGACTTACAAAAAACAAAAACATAAGGGTAACTGATCTCAAACTAGGCAAAGTGGGGACCAAACTTTACCTGTATGATGACCACTTGTATACCTCATGCTGAATCACACCCTACATCTTTAAAATAAAATAAATTTTGAAAAAATTCAATTATCTTATTAGCCTTCTTTAAAAAAAAAAAAAGCATATGCCTGGTCTATAATCAGTAATCAAATGGCCGCTGCTGTCATTACCATTACCAGCATCATGGCTAGATCGAGTAACCTGAGGGCGTATCAAGCACAAATAAGGCATAAACAGAGCTTAAATTACTTGACAAAAGGAAATTACGACCACTGTCAGTGAGGCCAACAGTACAAAAGTTCTCCTCTGGTCTCTCTCCTGCTTCCATTGAGATGCTCTTGAATCACATAAACCTTCCTCTTCAACCCAATCAGGCGAATGAGGATGAGAGCCACATTCAGCAAGAATGGCACCTGCACCCCGCAAAAGTCAGAACAGCGAACGCGACCCATCTACCTACATATCCGCATTCTAACAGGGAACATCAGCCAAGGCTGGCATGGGGACCTGAGGAGTTTGTTCTGGGAATCCTCCTTCCTCTAATTCTGAAACCAACCTATGGTTTTTAAGATCTGTTGCTCAGACATAACTTCCCTAACTCTTCACATCCTTGTCTTCTGTTATAAATATCCCAGTACAAGCTAGAGGACCAGTTCAGAGAGGCGGTGTCATGGACGAATTATCCCAAGGGGTGGCTGGTTGAAGTGTTGACTTGTCTTGGTTTTCTAGGATTCTTTTTTTTTTTTTCTTTTGAGTTAGGAGTGCAGTGGCATGAGGCCATGGCTCACTGCAGCCTCCAACTCCTGGGCTCAAGCAATCCTTCCATCTTAGTCTCCCAGATAGCTGGGATTATAGGCATGCACCAACATGCCTGGCTAATTTATGTATTTTTTTGTTGAGACAAGGTCTCACAATGTTGTTCAGGCTGGTCTTGAATTCCTGGGCTCAAGTGGTCCTCCTGCCTCAGCCTCCCAAAGTGCTGGGATTACAGGTGTGAGCCACCACACTCTGTTGGTTTTCTTAACTACCACAAGGGTAACTCCCAGAAGAATCCATTTCTTCCAGGGGAGAGGACGGGTGATAGGGAGAATGCACTTCGCCATTCTTGGAAACTAGATGTAGATAAATACAGGGGGAAAGCCTCCAGGTTAATCTAGAATTCCTTAGAACCCCCCAACAAACAGGTCTAGCAACAAGTGTGACCAACCGGATTGTTCAAAGATGGTCACAGCAGTACAGCCAACCCCACATGTTCCTCTCACAATGTGACATTGATGTTCTTCCAGTAAGAAGTGGGTGTCTCTGTGCCCTATCCTTGAATATGGCCAGCCTTACTGACTTGCTTTCAGTAAATAGAATATGGAGGAAGGTAAGTGATTGTGTGGCTTTCAAGGCTAGCTCATAAAAGTCAGCATAGCTTCCACCTGGCACACACATTCTCCCCATCTCTGAAAGCTCCCTTGGGAACCAACCACCATGCTGAAAAGGAAGCGCAAGCTACAAGCATGTGTTTCAGCCCCAGCTAGGATAGAGCAAACGGCTACAAGAGCTGTAGACCCAGGAATGAAGGAAGCTTTGAACAGTTCAAGCTCTCAACTGGCCCAAGGTGATGCCGAGTGAAGCAGAGATGAGCTTCCCCTCTGAGCTCTACCCAAAATGCAGATCTGTGAGCAAAATAAATGCGGTGGTTGTTTTATTTATTTACGTTGATTTTTTGAGTCGGAGTCTAACTCTGTCACCCAGGTTGGAGTGCAGTGGCATAATCACGGCTCATTGCAGCCTTAACCTCCAGGGCTCAGGCAGTCCTCCTGCCTCAGCCTCCTGAGTAGTTGGGACTACAGGTATGTGCCACCATGTCTGGCTGATTTTTAGATTTTTTTGTAGAGACAAGGTCTTGCTATGCTCCCTAGGCTGGTGGTCTCAAACTCCTGGGCTCAAGCAATTCTCCTGCCTCAGCCTTCCAAAGTGCTGGGATAACAGGCATGTGCCACATACCCAACGTGGTGGTAATTTTAAACCACTGGGTTTTGGATGATCTGTTACTCAGCCCTAGTAACTGGAGCAGAAGGTGACCTTATTGTTGCAAGTTCCTATATTACCCAAAAACTGGGGCAGGATTCCCACACTCAATCCATTCTAAGGGTCCAACCACTTCATGAGAGTTTGTGGCCGGGAGATCCCCTCACAATTCTGTGTCCTTAGATAAGCTTTCCTTATTGGGGTTTCATCACAACATGCCCAACTTTGCCTTCTTCATAGGTGTACGTGTGAGATGCATGTTATCATTATCAGGCAACGGTTCTAGCCTTTCCCTCTCCAGAACTAAAGTGACATTCCTTTTTATCAAGGCTAAGTTGAAGATATAGTGACAGCGATCAGTTCATTTCATTCTCCCTCAGAAACAGCACTCCCAGAACTCTGTGGAAGCACTCCTGTTTTTCCAAAGTCAAGTTGGTTCTAGACTCTAACAACAAAATTCACAAATTAAGGCAAGAGAACTCAGTAATAGAATAAACCTGTACTATAAACCAAAACAAAACAGAATAGGCTCTTGGTAATTCCGGCAGCTAGAAAAGCTTCTCAGAGTTTGCATCTATGTATAACCATGACAAAAATCACAAGATCTTAAAAGTCAGTTAGCTTAGTCAGGATGTTTATACTAAAATGAAATTTCCATGGGGGAATCTGTCTGTTTTAATCATTCTTATATCTCCAGTGCCCGGCTCACAGTAGGCACTCAATAAGTCGAATGAATGAATGAGTGAATGAGTGAATGAACAGAAGGATGGCTGGCCGGCTTCAGGAGTCCTGAAGCCAGTGCCGCTTCAAATACTGGCATAAGCCCTACTTTATGGAGTCACTGATGGTGACTCCCTGACTAGACAAGGAGACAGGATGTGTTCATAATGAAAACAAATTAGGTCTGCCAAGTATAGAAGGAGACATGGCACCTGCGTAGTCTGGATGATGGTCAAGTCGTTCATACAAGAGGTTCCTACTCCCATGGCAGCTCGCAGGCCAGCTGTCCCGAACTCCATCCGGGCCCCAAAACATCTGTGCAGCTCTTCTTCATTGCCTTCTGCTATCAGTCGCTTCACGGACTCCAAAGTTAAAGGATTCTGCAAAACAGAAACATGTATGCCAGAGACAGCCTAGATAAATGACAGAACAGAAAATCTGAAATATAAAAACCTCTACAATAATTTTAACCTAGAGGATTTATTTATATATATATGCTTTTCAATTTTCTGATACTTTTGAAATTTGAAATGTGACATCATTTTATTTGACACTATAAGGTATTATTTTCTTTCCAACCAAGGCAAGTACTTTTGTAGAATGGAAGCAGAGGTCTTAACAAAGGATTCTAAGAATGGGAGCCCAGAATGGGACCCCAGCCACACCACTTGCTAACTCTAAGTGCTTGAGCAGATTCTCTAGCCTACTGAATTCTCAGTTTCTCCATCTGTAAAATGGAACCTCCCTTCTATAGCGTTTAAAGTTTTAAGATGGTTTATATCCAATTAATGTAAAACATCTTTCTCTACCGGGCACTTAGTGGTGCTAAAATGTTCATTTTCTTCCCTAAGGTCCTCAAATTATCCCAGAGAGTGATAGATTATACATTTAAATCAAAACTTTACTTTTGTGATATTATACAATTTGTTTGAGGTGTTCACATACCTGGTCAAGTTTGAATCGTGTAATGACTCCCCGAAGCAGGCAACAATAAAAACCAATTTTACAGATGGGGAAGCCTCAGAGATAGAGTAACCTGCTTAAAATGCAGGATGGCCATTAACCTGGTGCCTTTTCTATGATATCAGCTGTCTCGAATAGACACTAACATAATCATTGAAGTCCATTAGACATTGCCCTACTTTCTTTGTATGACAGCTACAGAAAATATTAAGATTGACGATAAATAATGACTATCACATTAATTTGATGTGAGACTTAAATTATGAGTTTGGAGAACAAGAGAGTAAGGACTTCATCTTTCTGTCTCCCATTCGTTATCCACCTAGGTGAGCACTCAGGCAGGATGTAGCCACGTCATTAAACTTTGAAATGCTATGGCAATAAAACCTTGCCTTTTTGGAATTAAGCCATTTCCAGATTGTTCCAGATTCAGCAGGAATCAAACAAACCCTGCCCTTTTTTGACTAAAAGCAACAGATACTAACGACAGGGTACAATTCTACCTAGCAGATTGTCAAGCACTAGGTACATGAAAGGGGCACAGATTTGGTACATGAAAGGGCTCAGCCTGTCAGTTCAGCACTTTGGGAGGCTGAGGCGAGAGGACTGCCTGAGCCCAGGAGTTCAAGACCAGCATGAGTAACTTGGTGAGACCTTGTCTCTACAATAAATTAAAAAAAAAAAAATTAGCCAGGCACAGTGGTGTGTGCCTGTAGTTCCAGCTACTCAGGAGGCTGAGGCAGAAGGATTGCCTGAGCCCGCAGGTCAAGGCTGCGGTAGCCATGATCATGCCATTGTACTCCAGCCTGGGCGACAGAGTGAGACTCTGATTAAAAAAAAAAGAGAGAGAAAGAGACTCAATAAATCAAGAAATACTCATAGACTGAATGAGAAAACACAGACTCCACGGTCACACCCAACATCTAGTGGGTTTCTCTCATGCTCATAGTATAGATCTGGAAAATCCTAATTGGCCTTGGATATCTATAAAAAACCAAGCAGCCTGAGAGAAACAGAAGAGAAGAATGAAAGAAGGGAGTAAAGATCTGAATCAGCCCTAGAAGTGACCAAAACCAACAGCAGAGAAAAGAACAGGGGCAGATACAGCATGGAAACACAGAAGGCAACCAAGGGTGCCTTGTCACATGCGGGGAATCAGATCAAAGGGCTGTGGTCTTAGCGGGTGGAAGGTTCCTTGGAGAATGGAAGGGCTGCCTCCCAGAAGGCACCACATTCACACCAAAGGAGAAATCTAGAGAGGAAAGTGGCAAAAATTCCAAAAGGACAACATGCCCTGCTTCCACCCAGGGAGGTATAGTCTTTCTAGTTACAGGTGCTACATTGTGTAGAAATAAGTTTTCTCTTCCTCACAGGGAAAGTTTTATGGACCTATATGTTACCAACTCTGATTTCACAAGAATTCTATAGTTTGAAAGTTACATGTTATCAGAAAAGGAAAACCCCTGTTCTTCTCTTAAGAATCACAAGGTTGGATTGCCTGAGCTCACGGGTTCAAGACCCGCCTGGGCAACTTGGTGAGACCTCATCTCTACAATAAA